ATTGTTGAATATCGCTCAGGATTTTTTGTAGAAGCGTAAACAAAAACCTTCGAGTAAAATATTGATTTTTTCAAAACACAGTGTTGGATTAAAATTCAATACACATACTAACTATAAATTACATAATGAATTTCCATCTTCATCTACTAAAAAAACATCACAAGGTCTAAGAGCAACATAAGGGATTCCCTTGGTCCTCTTTTACGATTTGCGTGATTCAACGTGGAAAATAAATATTATGAATATATTATATTAAACTATATATGTATATTAAACTACTCTAAATTACCAAGACAGCATAAGAAGACAGCATCACTCATTGAAACATATCTCATAAATATAGGATAGTTTAGGAGGGCACGTGCTTACGCGCACTAGTTGTAAGGCGGCGCACGCGCAAGACATGACGCGGCCGCGCTTGGGCATTTGCATCAGTTTCCGCTAAACTGAGGAAATACGTTATGACCAACGCAGGAACTGATGAGTCCAGGAGGCCTACTCAAATAAGTTGTAGACGTTATTCATACGACGTTCGTTTCTTAAAACTTGTGCAGCTGTACACAAATTCTATATTTATATTATGCTACAGATATGTTGAAATAATTTCAATTGTTTTTTTTAATCCAAACAATTAAAAAAAACAATTAAAATCCAATCAAGTAGCATTTCGAAAACCTAAGTCTTCATAAGTGACGAATTTACAAATTGAATTTGAACACAAATATCAAAAATATTATTTTAATAAAAAAAAGAAGATGACGTTGTACAATGTTGTACCAATAATAATATGAAATAATATCAATTAATATCTATCCAGTAATTACCTAATTTAATATAGAGCTTATTGTACCTACTTTCCTATAACCTATTTAAATAGAGTATGATGTCTGAAAATGTTAGATACCACGATAAATGGCCTGTAGACAATAAGATTAAAGGCGACGATTATAGGGTCAAGGATATAATAACGTACAAAATCATTAAGAATATCATATACCGTGCCATAAATGAAGAGGCATCTAAGTCGAAAAAGAAAGTATATTTATATACTTTCTATTGTAATAATATATTTATCTTAAAATCCATCTAAACGTAATTTTATATTCTAATTTCTATTACAAAAGTCCAAAATAGTTTTAAATGAACTTCATAAAAACACAAGACCCAAAAAAAACAAAGAAATTTAATTGACAGTAAAAGAATTATGATAAATCAGAAAAATATTTTTATCCTTACAAATCATATTATAAGTGAAGTCGCATCTAAAAGGATTATCATATAAATAAAGGATAGATATAGATGTGTGTGTATTGGAAACGATCATGGCAATGTCATCGACATCCGAGTCGGCATAAGCTGTGAGTCAGCATTTATAGTTCCTGTCTGATGTACGCATATAATGTACACTTTATGTATATTATAATTAGCACAAATATATCCTATAACCTGTACCCTGATGATGAGATGGGAGAAGAAGATAGCCGTACAATGGTTGATAGGATAAGACAAAATTGGGATATATTTATCAAAATTCGATAACTTGCTAAGGCAGATTACCCATTTTTGGCAATTTTAAGATTATGACCTAGTTTTAAAGTTACGAAGAAGTAAACTTAACATTACACAGCTGTTAACGGTAATAATATTTAAAAACCGTTCAGGGTAAAATAATATTTTTGCCTATGCGGTTGTTGCCTAAAATGGTCAAAAAGGAGGCAGTGTCCGAAACCAGGTGTGCTGCGCCACTGTTGAAAATACTCTTAACACACAATTTCCAAATCAAAGCAAATAAAGCTACTACAAAAATATATTCCATTTTACCCGAATCCTGTTTTTGTATTAATCATAAAATTTTGTATTATATATGAGTCAAAATTATAATAAGCATCATCTTACTCTATATAAAAAAGTTTAGCTTTGAAATCACTCTTGAAAAACAATCTCTCTACGATAACTTAACGAGCTTCACGATCGTCCATCCCGATTGTGTTGGAGCTGGTTCCCCGGGATCACGTACCACTATCACAAAATGGCGCCCGAAATGAAATTAAGTTGTCCAACTAACCCTAAAGGTTCTCGCATACTGGAAGACAAAAATTAATATATGAATTCTCATATTTCTTATCTTCGTCACTTTACTTCGTTTTGTTTTGTTAATATCAAGGTTATTTACTGTCAATATTCGTTAAAAAATCATTAAACTTCGAAATTATTCTGCACTAAAATCCATTTCTGTAAATCAAATTTCTTCAAGTCATAAACAACTCTAATAAAAATCATGATAAATGGTTTATAGATTGTTATTATTTCTCATGATGACATAAAACAATTGTCAAAAGCAATACAAATAGGTACAAAATACATGTAACCTGCAGTCTGTCTGAAATTTTAAAGTAGTTATTTATGCCCAAATAACTACTTTAACTACTTTAGGATTAAACAGGTTAGGTTTATATTCAATGCCTTCTGTGTACGTCTACCTCTATGAAGCAAGGCGTTATAATCCTTTTCATCAATGATATCTGATTCATCTCATCTACCTCTTTGGACCTTCGTGCTGCGCCTTAAGATGTCAATTCACCCACACCAGGTAGTATGTTTGAATGAACAATAAATAAAATGAATTCATAAAGCGGTTCGGAGACAAGTAAATGAGTGCGCGAGGTGACGCCGCCGCGGCCCCTAATAGACGCACAAGTTGAGTTTCGATAGTTTTAACTTCATTATGTTATTTTAGAATTTTTTTTGTATTATATTTATGGGAAAGTCATCAAATATATTTACTATCTTTCCAATCTTATCCCAAAAAATATTAGATTTGACTGAAATATGAAAAGGAATCTTAAAACCGTAGCCATGAATTAGTAACATTCAAAAAATTGTAGATCCGTCTATATTAAATAAACACCATCATATGTTTGCTTAAAAAATACGGATCAGTAAGCTTGCCTGCCTATCAAGTTAGATATCAGGTGCCACCACAACACCTTGTCTTCTTTCATAAACAAGGTATGGGTGTTCGAATCCCTGATAAACCGAACAGGGAGCGGTGTTATAAGAGCAGGGCGATAAGATTACGTCACAGGCTCGTGCAAGGTGCCCTTGGTGATTACTGACACAATATTGACTGAGCTTTTTGAGCAGGTGTCTTTGCTAAGTACTTCCTAGGAGAACTATTTAAAACTAGATGTCAAAATTGCTCATAGGCATAGTAAAGAAAAGGATAAGGATAAAAATTATATCATTTTCTTATTATGGTTTAGTATATAATTTCAATTATATACTGTACTGTATTTTACTAATGTACTGTATTAATAGTACTGTATGCGGAGGTAGAGCTAAAAATTATCTATTATTTGCTATCTTGAGATGAAGAAAGACCATGCAGAATTTGACAGGATAATGGTGTCCGCATAATGGGGTCATACTGACAGTGCCCTTCCTTTACAAAAAGTAAACAAATGTTGAAGCACTGTGGAGAACAAAAAGAAGGCGTTGATAAGCCGCATCTTTTCAATCAATCAATCTTAAAACTAGAGCATGGGTGAAGTAGTCAAACAGATCTGCCAATTTCGCTGTACTACACTGCTATACTTCACCTTCAAACAAATATTACCAACATGGTCTAGCTTTAAGTTGGTTGATATATTGTACGTTATAATTTCAGACAGATAGGGATTTGCGCAACTATCAGCCTCTGTGGAACCAAGCTTGCAGCTTGATGGAATAGATAATTTTGCGCAAAAACTTTCTAAACAACTTTGATGTTTCGTGATTTGATGTTTTCGACAGCAATTAAAAAAGTCTATAATGACTTTATAGTTTAATTTTTTAAGTTTCGAAGATTTCTACGGGACGGCTTTTTTACTATGAAATAAAAATCAATTAATAAAGACTTTTTTAATTTACACTGCTAAATTTGATTTGCTAAATGGATTCATTTCAATAGATCTATAGAATACATAATCAATATACTCGTATACGTATGTACCTAGTGTCAGGTTTATTGAATTTCCCACTTATGATCCAATCCAATGAATTTCCTATTTTGCGCCTTTCGTACATTAACTCGAATAAATATAGCGAATACGGTTCTACGATAAATTAAAGCTATCGCTTCAACACCCCGGTGGGCTCTTAGATCCGAAAACATAAAAGCTTTTGTTCACCTCAACTTATTATTGAGTCTACATTACCAGTGCAACAACGGAAACTGCAAAAAACATAGAAAGAAGCTTCCGATTTTGGTTGGAATAAGAGAAAGTGAAGTAAGCATTGTAATTTGGGAATATATTATCTGACAATAATAACAGTTAGTAATCAGTACAGTAATAATGGTAATTTATAACATAATCAAGTAAATTTTCCTATCTATTCAAGTATACTGCCTACCTGTTTTTCATGTTTATTATAAACAAGCAAATATTACCCATCTGTCAAAATTTCAAAGGACACTTTCAAAATTACATCACAACGATGCCGAAATAATCACAATGGTAATACCATTACATAGCATCACCTCAAACCTGAATATACAGACATGATTATACTTAATGTATCGTTCACCCATTGAGATGTATCGACAAAATTTTATGCCTATTTGACTATAATGGCCGTCCCTTAGCCCTTGACAAACAAGCGTGATGGATGTGATGCGGCAGGCACAAAGCTCCCATTGATACCCCCACCTACCTCTGTCTCCAATTATGCGTCCACGTATTCGGAAGGCAATGATTTTGTCCACCGGCCGCCGCCGTCGGCCCACAGTGCTAGAAAAAAAACTTCAAAAGATTCTCAAAGCTGGACGTTTCGGATCAATGAAATATTTCAACGGCTCACACTTATTTATTTACAAATAATGACAAAAACTTTGGTACACCAATAAAAACGTAGAACTTAAATGGTCCGTTTTGAATGACTTCATTCATCAGCGTTACTAGAGAAACACACATTCTTTTTCGTTTATTCATTTTAGAGTGTTATCTTAATACCGTTAAATTCTATCTTAGAAGCATAAGACTAGGCGTGATGTCATGTTTCAGGCCGAAACGTTTGGCACAAGATTCTTGATGCAGTTCGCAACAATAAGCTCTAGTGAAACGCTGACCACAGTACTGGCATCGGAAGAGACCGATTGAAGATTCTGCTTGTATGTCTAAGATGTGTCTACAAACGCAACAATCTCTGAAAAAATATACACATTGAAATTGGTCGATTATCTTCATGTACCGTACAAAATATACAAACATAGTTATATAACACTATAGTTATTAATAAACTATCTAAATAATACTTTAGTTAATATACTCGTAAAATCTTAACAAATTGACATAGTGTAAAATATAGTAACGAGTATTATACAGTAATTCTCGGACAATGTTTTATTTTTGCCCTGATGCAAGTAAATTTATTAGGTAATTGAGAGCGTTTACCTTGTTTCCCCTAAATCGTGTCCCTGGATGTGATCACTCAACTGTGACGGTCTATCAAAGGCCGCCCCACAAATATGACACACATATTGCGAACGTTGCCTCTGTTGTGGCATTATTTGGGGTATCATTTGCAAATATGAGTAGTACGATAAATTAGGCATATATGATAGTAATTGTTTCATAGTTTCAGTGGAAATTCGCAACAGAGCAAGCAGCCCCAAAGGATCAGTATTTACGGCTATGGTCATTCTCGCTTTCTCTCCAGACCCATCTCTAGATATTTCCTCTATAGATGCAGGTTTACGTACCGAATTAAATATTGATTTCGATAGTGAATCTGTCACTTCTGTCGACCGATCCTTAGTTGGAATGTGAAGAGATGCCTGTTCTAAGCATGGTCTTAGAGAATTTCCATTTAAAACATTTTCTATATCTCGTTTCGCCTTGTTGCTATTATTGATCTCTTCAATCATAACATTATTAATGTCAGTTATACATGAATCATTAGCTAATTTTCGCTTTTGTATAGTGTAAGGCACAGGTTTAATTATATTTTTTGTAAGTAAACCACAAGCTGATCTTTCAGCTTTAATTAAAGCAAGAGTTTCACTTTTTGACGTATTTAAATATTGAGACTTAAATTGAGACTGCTTAAAATTTAATGAATGGCAATTATAATTCTGTCGTACACTAGTTCTAGATCTAACATCTTCTATAAATATATTAAGTGAAGTAATCAAAACGTCCAATTTATTTTCTATACTTCTCAATACACTGGTTCCATCTCTCGTCACGGTTTCTTGAATTTTCTTCTTTAATCGATCTACATTTTCGGATACTCTGCTATATTGCTCCTGAAAAGTATCTTTTATCAATGTTTCACCCCGCTTTAATAAAGACTCCTGAACTATTGACAGGTTGACATTGCTAGTCTGAGTACCAAGATCGTTCGTTCGACTGAATCGATCGAATTGATCGTTTGTTCGGCAGAATTGATCGTATTGATCGTTCAATTGTTCTTGACACCCGATATTGATAGTGCAAATACCCTGGTCAACTTTATGCTTTTCAGTAGGCGGAACGGTGCGGGGCTTGTTAGATGGATCCGATTGTGACTCTTGCTTAAAACGGTCATTTCGTTTCTCAACAACGATCGTATTACCACGAAACTGTCTCCTATTAGGTGGAACATATACATAATCTTGAGCAAATGGATTTCTTCTTCTTTCTTTATTAATCATCATCATACGACCTTGAGAAGACATGGGATAGCATTCAAACTTGTTTTCATAAAAAGACTGCTGATAATTTGTCAGCGAGTAAAAATTAGAATTGAATTGTTCAATATCATACGCACCATAAAGTTCGTCTAATAGATCGTTGCATAGGCTTGAACGGTTGAGCATATATGTTCTATGAAAATCATTCAAGTTTTTATTTTGTCTATTGCTTTGATAATTTGATGAATAATGCTGATTCTCATAATAATCCATTCTTTGGCTTGTCTTCGATTCGTTAATGTAATTATTTAATTGTTCTATCTCTTTTTCTCTTTTTCTGGCGAGTGCCAACTTTTTTACTAATCTTTGTAATCTCGCATTTTTTTCTCTAATTCTGCTCGCAAATTCATTATTGAAACTTAAAACGGGTCGACAATATGTAGTTTTCTCAGCATAGTGTTTTTCTTTAACCGATTTTGTTGAATATTCAGTATTGGATATACATACGTGTTTTTGTGAGTCAGTGTATTGTAAATGTGTTGCGGGTACTACTGCTTCTTCTCTTGAGACAAGTCCCAGTTGCACTCTAGAATATTTAGAATTAAATGTTGGTGCGGAACGTTTAATTTGAACATGATTAATAACAAAACTTTGATTATAATTACTTTTTTTCTCAATATGGTGTAGATCGCGTGGGTTCTTCTCTATGCGGCCTTCCTTCAGAAAGCCATCTCCGTCGATATTTGTTTCTCTTATGATTTGGTTGATAAGCAGCTTGGACGTGGTGGAAGAGCACGCGTCCTTAGGTAGTTTCTTGCCGAAAATATTAGAGCTTCTATCGCTTTTACTCTTCATGTTTTGTTCCGTAGCTATTTCAGAGCCACCCATCTTAAAAGGACTCGTAGTTTGTACAGATATACGCCCAGTGCTGGATTCAGTGAAATAACTATGTGTTTCACTAGGTTTCGTCTGGGGCTCAATATCACTTCTGTTATTTTTATTGAAATCCATTTTACGAATAATTTTGCATGTATCCAAATCAAATTTTAAATACTTTAATCTCTAGTAACTTAAACGCAAAGATAATTACATTTTTCTTGGTAACAACACATGTCTATGTTGACAATTTAGTTGACAACTGCTAATAAAAAGAGGTATAGAGCCTGAATCGAGAATAAAGTGAGGATTGAAATGAAACATCGAGTTCCGAAAAAGGTTTTAATGGAATTCGTATTCAAACCTTCGGCAAATATTAGCCCACATAATGTCTCACTGAATAACACTTTTTGTATAACCGTTTTGGAGATTTGTCACGAAAATAAATTTTTGCTTATTATGAGGCTAATGCAAATAAAAACATTTGGTGTTTAGTGTTTAATAAAGGGTTTGGAGGACAGCAACGTCTGAGATATTCGATTGAGACCACGATTATTATGCAAATAAAATTTTATAAGGACCACCCATAAAATGCAATAACTATACATGACCATAAACTATAAATATATAAAAAGTAATTGTTATTATTTCACACCATTAATAAAGTAAAGCTGCTTAATGATTTTTTAAATCTTTTAATAATGTAAATATGAGAAAGATTTGAGATGATCGTACCATTTAAATATACAATATAACTTCTAGGGAATGTTATCACGAGTGGATGTCACTGTCACATATAGTTTACTATGTAAATAAACATTTTTTTACTATATATGCTCTGAGAAACTGTCTTTCACGATTTCATTTATATCATTAGTATTTTGGGGATAAAACGTCCTATGCCCTTTCTAGTCCTGTAACTATCTCTCAATCAGAATACATCACAATAGACCAAGTGATTTGATGGTAAATGCGGAAAAGTCAAACAGAAAGAGTAGCAATCGCATCTATACATAGTATAAAACAACGTCACTTCCTGCTGTTTGTATGCTAAAATCTTTTAAACTACAGAATGGAAATACTATTTGTTTCTAGAGGAACATTTATATATATAATAAAGGATCACGCCAACGAAGTCTAGTTTTAAATATTCATCATCATCATCATCATCAGCCCTTTTACGTCTCCACTGCAGGGGCTCAGGTTTCTTTATGGATGGCTAAGGAATATACCTAGCATAGGATAGGTTCAATAAAGTAATAAATGTTATATTTCATTGACACTGTAAGTAACAGATCATTCGCGTATCACATTTACAAAAGGAAACATCGATTTTTTCTTTTTCAATTTCCTTAAACGAGCAAGCGTCGAATGATTGAATTGTACGCACTATTGTGTAGTGGTACTTCACTATAGTGGGGTATAGGGGTTCCGTAAAGGGTGGGAGTGATTTATGGCACATTATCATTACCCTCCACGCTGGCCCAATTCGGATTGGAGGGTATTAACGACTGCAAATGGAGCCGGGACCAACAGCTTAACGTGCCTTCCGAAGCACGAAGTAGTTCGAGATAATAATATTTTGGTCACCCATCCCGTGACTGACCCTTGCCAAAGTTGCTTAACAACAACGATCGCGGGCCGCGGCGCTTATCCTCTACGCCACCGAGCTACTTCGAGCTGTTTTAAATATTATTCTAATATAAATATTAATAAATAATTTGATGGTTACCAAAGATTGCCACTACAATATCTAATCATTGTAAACTTGTACATAATTTATATATGTAACATTAACACATATATTTAGTTGTAAACAAACAATAAAATTATACTTTACACACATATGTAGACTATAATAAAAATAAAAACACGCCATTTAAGAACTATTTGGATTAACCTCCAAAGGGATTCTTGTTAACGCGTTTTATTGGGTTTTTTAGTACTATTTTCTTTTTTTTTTTTTTAAGCAGTACACTACAGGGCGTGCTTGTTCGCGGCTTGTCAATTGTCATTCGTTTATGTTAATTTATGTTAAATACGGTATTCTTTGGAAAGTCACAGGGGGTCGACGGTGGTGATGACTGGATGGACAAAAAAAACCGACACGCTTAATATTATACATTATTTGAATAATTAATTATAATTTTACCCAAGAACTAATATATTCATATATATAATACATAAACCTATTTAAATTATTTTTAAATCGTACGAAGTTATTCATTATAATTCAGAACGTCTTTTAGCTGACAAAATGTAATTTTTTCATAATCAAGAATCTTAAATTTTATGTATGTACTTAAAACTATAAAGAAGTTATATCTTCATATAATAGCTTAATTTCTATCTACAGTATTTGACGTTGTCAATTATTCGAAAAAAATTAATTAGGTTTTAAAACTATATCTAGATATCACAATTTACATAGCAACTATAAATTGGGGTCCGATCTGAAATGAACTTGCGAAACAAACCCAGACAAAATAAGTGACCATTACTTCCTATATTAAAATAATTGTTGTCCCGCTAATTGACTCTCGTAAATTATAGTACCATATGATCAATCATAGCATTTGACGTAGCTTCCCGTAGGTGAAAGAATATTCATGATTAACTTAGTATTTCCGAATATTACCCCTAAAAAAAACAAAGTTGAGAACTAACTTGTTTTGATAGTATCAGTATAGTTTACCACAGGAAGACATAATCCTTTCAAAAGTGAGTTTTAAATCATCTTTTATTCAGTCTAGACTGATTAAACAGTCTTAATTCCTTATATTAGTCCTTTGTACTCATATAAATCTTGATGAAAAGATGTTCTTCTACTGAATAAAATGACCTATAATAGTTACCGGAGAAATTGTATAGAAATCCTTCGAGACACAACCGAAGGTAACATATAATGATCGACAATCATACAAATTACAAAACACAAACATCTCGTTAATACACAAGACCCTAAGAACCGCGCTGTTTCGAGCATTCTACACGATCAAGGTTAAATGAAGACCCGTACTGATGTTCCGTATATTTATCTAAACAAACAGTTACGTAACAATCCAATTAAAAAAGGCGGCAGTCTGTGTAGTCAGTAAAATGGGATGTATATAATATGTAAGTAAATGCTAGTTCCAAAAATCTATTTTTTGATTCTGTGGTTACCTCACCTAAAATTTACCGTGGACGGGTGCTGCTCACAGAACAGGAAAACGTGTTGCTAGTGAAGACGAGAGTCTACTCTAGACATGTAACTTTTGGCCATTTTATTTTATTATGGATATTGTTCGCTCTGTTAAGGTAACTTCTAACCTAACGTAAGTTCGGTTCTTTCATATCTAGTACCATTAAGTGAATTGATATTATGTTTGATACCATTAAAAATTGCATGAAATAAAATAATGCCAATATACACTGGTAGCAAAAATTATTATGGCATAACATTGCTTATTATGACAAAAATAATTATGCCAAAACAGTTATACCAAAGTGTATTCTGACCGAGAACATTAAGCAAAAATAACGGATCCTGTTTTAGATCAACCTATGGTACCCTAAAGATATCCTGCCCGTAGTCCCGGTACTGTCGCATTGTGCCAACACAATACCGTCGCCGTGTATTCCGATTGTGTTGTACTCATAGACTTTTTTTTTCTCTCTCGTCTTATTTGATCTTATTATTCGTAGGCAAGCTTATTGTAACGCCGTTTGGATAGCGTACGATTTAGGGTTCCATATTAGGATTCTACATATCCTTGATATGAGACACGTGACTTCACTTTTTAATTTACCTTTACGACGTTAGTACACCGACGCAATAGCATGCGAAACATTTGCGAAATCTTGTCAGTTGTATGGCAATATTTCGCATGTGCTTTGTCTCGCTCTATTATTAGTTAGAAGAAATAACTGCGTCCTTGTCAGTACGGTTCGCAGTAAACAGCGTAAAATGTAGTTACACAGACGCACATGTTTCGCATTTACGGTTTCCACCCGTCCCGTTTTCTGATGACTATCCGAATGTCACGAATTGTATTTCTCAAAAGGTTTGCATAGTTTCGCACATATTTCGTGCGTAATATTTAGAAGATTATAGGTATATCGTAGTACCAAGAAGATTATAGGTATATTTTTTTTACTACGTTTGTACGTTTCAAGAAGTTTATATATTTTACATTTGGGTTCTTTCTAGAGTATGTATAGTATAGCAATGTCCTCGTTCTCTCAGAGCGTGCTATCACTTACTCAGTAAAAAGTGATACAAAATCTTTAAATTGATCGAGTCTCAAAACTAACTAATAAACCTCTGATAAAATATAAAAAAGTAGATCAATTAATAGCTACATAAACTGCATAGTAAATTTGCATTATAATCATAACAAATCTTTTATACCGTCGAGTGTGGTTACAAGCACATATGAAAGTAATATAACAAAACCATATTTAAATTCGTAAATATATGGTTAGAGAACCGATAAGAATTTCATCAAAGTTTTCTTTTCTGCTTATTTTTTCGTTCATATAAATCGGATTAAAAAATTAATTCGTCGTCAAACTAACGTTTCATCACAGTAATTTAGAAAACAAAAACATTATAATTCAATTACTTTATATTCGAAAATGAAACACGCCTAACTAATCTAATCTAATCTAGGCTAACCTTGAGTTTAATGTATCGACTATTTCTCGGATTATGCCAAAAAGGAGAGTTAAGAATGAAATAAATTATGTACATAATTCATACGGAACCCAATGATTATTATTTTACATTGTATATTGTTAGTATTTTTTACGTGTATACTATGTGTGAGGAATGCGAAGTCTACGAGATTACGGCTCGTCGGCGGCGACTGAGATCTACGTTACCATGGCAACGGAGACCAAGCCTCTATCAACCGCCTATTAAAGAATTTACCAATATAAATTTGTTTGTAATATAGCAGATTCTTTTTGTATATATTACTTCTTCTTTATAATAACGAAATGAAAGAGTCGAGGTCAATGGAAATGCTTTACATTCTTTAGAAGAACAAAAAGTGTGGTCGGTCGAAACGGTTTTCAAAATATTTTTAATTGTTTTTGTGTTCGCCACTCCCCCTTTCAGTTTAGTTAATTATAAAACCTTAAGGGGTAGA